CTCTTATCCGCATCTGCGAGGTGATACGTATCAGAGTGAGGGGGCCGACCGGTCATTTACTGTCCATCGACGTGTGTCGGAGGTGGTGCGGAGTGCTGTTGTTGCGTAAAATGTTGTTTGTTGTTCATTGTTCGTTCTTTGCTGTCGTCGTCCCAACCACGACCCAACCCCAAACCCATCCGCGACCCACCCGTGACCCACCCGCGACCCATCCGCGACCCACCCGCGACCCCACCCGCGGTCCACCCCGTGACCCACCCGCGACCCATCCGCGACCCACCCGCGCCCCCGCCCGCGCCCCGCCCTCCACCCACCCGCGACCCACCCCGCGACCCACCCGCGACCCAGCCCGCGACCCGGCCCGCGTTCCATCCGCGACCCACCCGCGACCCCGCCCGCGCCCCGCCCTCGACCCACCCGCGACCCACCGCGACCCACCCGCGACCCAGCCCGCGACCCAGCCCGCGACCCAACCGCGACCCACCCGCGACCCACCCGCGACCCACCCGCGACCCACTGACATTGCTATAACGAAAAAATCAGAGCCTGCGGCGGTCTCGTTGAAGACATTGCCAAGGTTAGGCGCCTGCGGCGGGCTTCTCCAGAGCCTCGCAAACTGCCGACGCCTCTGCCACCCCCCCACTCTTATCCGCAACCTGCGCGAAATATGTGTATTTATATATATGTATATATATACATATATATATATATACATTATATATATATAATATATATATATATATATATATATATATATATATATAAATATATATATATTATATATATATATGTAAATATATATATATATATATATTCTCCCCAATGAACCCATCACCCGAAGCCCGTCCAGAGGCCAGACAATTTCGATTGAGCGTCAAATCCGCTTCCCCTCAAGGGGGCTATAACCGCACCAACACATGACTCGCTCGCGACAGGGCTGTAAATTGGCCGGCCGGGTAAACGTCACCACATCCAGGGAGGAAGGGGGAGAAGGACGAAGACGAGGCGGAGCGGAGGAAAGGGAGGGGACGAGGACAGCCGAAAGTCGACGCGTGCCATCTGTCGACTCGGGGCGCACCGCCAGAGCTCCAACCTAGGCAGGCCATCTGCAGCCTGAAGCCCTGCATCAAAACATGCATACTGGGACGCTCCACGCCCGAAGAGTGGACTTGGGCAGCAGATTTCCGCGCCCATCCCGCCGACACGTCAACATGAATGCGGCCATGCTGCGACAAGAAATGCCGCGCCTGGGTGAGGAGGCAGAGGGAGGAGGAGGAGGAGGAGGAGGACAGCGAAAGGAGAGAGAGCGCGAGGGACCCAAACCCTCAAGACCGAGGATACGAATCCTACAGCCACAAGCTGCACTCCCCTGGCGACTCAAGCGGGCAGCCCGCAAATGGTGGCCGATGGCGAAGGTGGCCGGCCAGCCAAGACAGAACGGTCCCGTAGCGACCCCCGCCGTGGGGAGCGGCTGACGATCCCGGGCGGCCCAGCCCTGCACCACCTCCGCGTGCACACGGCGCAACGGCCAATTCCCGCAAGAAGTGCGCAGCCCCAAGCGCACCCCGCACGGAGGGAGGAGGACAGAGGAGGGAGGAGACGACGGAGGGGGAGGAGGAGGGGGGAATCTGTCTGCCAAATGCGGCGCTCTAAATCGCGCATGCCGCACAGCATCCTGCTCACGGACAGCTACTGCCAGCAACTCTGCCCCAACCCTATGGCCTCGGGCAGGCTGGCGGGGCAGCCTCACCCCCAGCAGGGCCGCAAGCCCATTGGGAGGACAGGGAACCGCCCCCAGAGGAGAGGGAGAGAGAGAGAGAGAGAGACACACACCGAGCCGAGAAGGGAACGAGAGAGCAGGCCAGAGGGGGACAGGCGAGGGCGAGAGAGGAGAGGAGCGGTACCCTGCACCCCCAGGGGCGTGCGGCCCGGCCAGGGCGGGATGTCCTCGAAGAGGACTGCCCCCAGCGTCACGCGAGCACCGAGGCAATCATGGCCGGTGCTGCTTCCAGAGACCGCGAACTCCAGAGCCCCGGGGCCCGGTCACCCGGCACAGGGACGGGGAGGGGAGAAGGAGGAGGAAGAGGAGGAGAAACAGGCACCGATATTAAAATAAGCTGCAGCAGCCCCGCGGGCCATCCGCGCCGCCCCCGCGACACGGGCAAGGAAAGAATGTGTGAAACAAAAATGTGAAACCAAAACTGTAGGCGCCGCGCCCTCGCAGCGCGACCCTTCTCACATGCAACCGCGTCTCCCGAAAACGGCGCCCGGCAGCGCCCGTCGTCAACTCCCAGCATCACCCTGCCCCCGGCGGCCCTCCCGCATGTACTCCGCGAAGGCGCCCTCGATGTCCACCGCCGGCAGGTCGCCGCAGCGTCGGTGGTTGTAGCACCGGTACAAGGCGTAGACGCCGATGGCCCGGTCTCGGATTTTCGACTGCCCCGCTGCGGAGGCGGCACCTCCCGCCAGCAGCAAGAAGTGGTCCAACGCCTGCGCCCGCGGAACAGGCTCGATTGACAGAAAACGGGCGAACAGGCGCCTCTGGACCGGGCAACTGGCCAGGTGTTCAACGCTGTCCTGACACCCTCCGCAGCCGAGGCGGCAGGGCGAACGTCCCTGGAAGCGCCGACTGGTGCACCATCCATTCAGTTGCAGCCGGATGCACGCCGCCAGGACGCGGGGCTGGCATTGCGCGGCCACCACCGCCAGTGCACTCTGAGCCCGCCCGAGACGCCGCCCCGGTAGCAGCTGCAGCGGCCATCTGTCCAGCTTTCGTCGCCAATGCCGCAGCGCCTCCATGCTGCGTGCTGGCGCGATGAGCAGAGAAGCCTTGCTCTGGCAACGAGCGCGTTCCTCCCACCAGTCTGGCCGCGGGCCGAGTGCTCTCCTGGCAGCGCTCACCCGGTCGTCCGCCTTGGCGATCTGCACCACGAATGCCCGGTCGCGCCAGTCACGCAGCCAAGCAAGTCTGTCGAGGGAGGTGGACTCCGGCACGACACAGTGAAGGCCCTGCAATGCGCGGGTCCGCTCGTGGACGCGGAGCTCGCCGGAGGCCTCCCACTTGGCCACCCGGGCCTTGGCCGCGATGACTGTTCGCGCAACGTCCTTCAAGGCGACGGGGAAATGTAGCTCGGACAGTTCCTTCAAGCAGCCAGGGCTCATCCAGCCGGAGGGGCCTGGTAGCAGCGCCGAACACGCCCGCTTCTCCCATTCTGCCCAGTCTTCTGGCAAGGCCTCGAACTGCCCCACGAAGAGCAACACCGAAGCCACGTAAACTCTGTAAGCATGGAGCGAAAGCTGCAGCCCTGCGCCCAGTCGGCCCCATAACTGAGCTCGCGCCAAGAACTTCTCTAAGGGTGCCTTCCAAGAGAGCTCTCTCCTTCCTGGCCCCACGTAGACGCCCAGATATTTGGCGGCCGCGGCAACCTCAACTCCGCCCCAGCCTGGGGCCGCGCGAATCAAGTCGGCGCGCGCCGCTGCCAAATCCCGCGCGGGCCATATATATATACATATATATATATATATATGTATGCACATAGAGTTTGTGAGTGAGTGGGAGTGACAGAGAGAGGGAGAGAGAGAGAGAGAGACAGGGGACTCTGTGTATATGGAAGGACCTACAGATCTACAGAGTAGCGGGGCGAGGGGTCGTCGGCAGCGTGGGGAGCTCAAGCGCATATTTGAAGAAGCCCGCCGCAGGCTCTCACTTCACGCAATCCAATTTTTTGTCAGGGTGGTTCGCAGGTGGGTCGCGGGTGGGTCGCTGGTGGTTCGCAGGTGGGATACGCACCGCGGAATGACACTTCGGCCACTTACCAAAAGGCACTGTGAAACCATTCGGCCCCTCAGTCTGATATACGAAATTGTGGGGGTGAGGCCAACATGAAACATGAGGTGCCCTGGCCGGGTAATCTTTTCGCTTCGTGTGTGACGTGCGTGGGGGCCAGGCAAAGCGAAGCTGTGCGAGTTCTGCCCTAGCACTGGCTAAATTGATCCGAACGTTGCGCCCCTGGGGTCCGCGCCGTGGCCCCTGGTTGTCACAATGGTTGCCACAATGGTTGTCCCGAAGATTGTCTCGATCGTTGATCCCATAATTGTCCCGATACTTGTCACGACGCTTGTCTCCCGGGTTGTCTCCATGGTTGTCCCGATAGTTGTCCCGATGGTTGCCACCATATCTGTCCCAATGGTGGTCCCGATGGTTTCCCCAATGGTTGCCCCGATGGCTGCGTTGAGGGCTGTTCTGATGGCTTCACGATGGTTGTCTCCATGGTTGGCCCGATGGCTGATCGATGGATGTGGTTGTCGTGAAGTTTGCCCCGATGGTTGTCGAGATGGTTGTCTTGATGGTTGTCCCGATGGTTGTCCCGATGGCTGTCCCGATGATTGCGCCGATGATTGTCCCGATGGTTGTCCCGATAGGTGGATGCCCCCATCGATGGGACAATCATGAATTGGGGTAACAGCTGGAAGATTGTGTGATAGCTATATTGATCGGTTGGCAGTGAGGCTGGTCAATACTGGGAGCGATTTGGATGTCGATATAAAGATTGACGATGGGATCGGCAGACACAAACATCGGTATGCAGCTTGGTACTGGGGCCGATATGTACGGACATCGGCCGACAAGTATCGAGACTGCTAGAACCATAGATCGCGAAGCCGGTCAGACGTCCATCGCAAACCCAAAGCTGCACCGATCCCCCAACACCTCTGTATCACCCCAAGGTTGATCTATGCAGTATATGTTCGTCTATGTACATCTGATAGCGGAGAGAGAGAGAGAGAGAGAGAGAGAAGATAGAAAAAAAATAAGAAAGAGAGAGGGAGAGAGAGATGGAGAGAAAAATTGAAACAAAGGGAAGGGGGGCGTGAGCTTGGGCAACATGAGAATACGGAGCAAGGATGGAAACGCAGGAACAGAACGGGCGAAGGGGGGAACGGCATAGATGGAGGAGATGTGGGCGGTGGAAAAGAAGGAGCAATATGACAAGGAGGTCGGGTAACACGCGGTGGTGGAAGACACGTCTCACTGGCAATGGTCTTCGCCGCCTTGTGCGACAATGGTTAAAACGAGCGCTGATTCTCGCGCAGGAACTGCGAAACCAAACTCCCGCAACGCTTCAGCTGCACCAACCCTCGAACTATGCTGAGTACCCTCCCTGCCTTGCCGGCCATACCATCTCAGTAGGGGCCATCGTTGTGTGTTGCCACCGCCAGTGCCGTACATCTCTGAAGTCGTCGTGACTGGCACCACTGTGATCACATGTGTTTGCAGAATTGTTTTTTCGTCCCGTGTCGTGATCACTCACTCCGGCAATTGTCTGATTGTCCTAATCCCCCCTCCTCCTCGATGTTATACTGCTATTTCTCTCCGCCTCTCCATTTCTATATATATACATATACTTATATATTTATACACACACACTACATATATATATATATATATATATATATATATATATCGCGCCGCCCGGCGAGCCACAGAGCCGTTATGTCAACCCTCCTCACCCCTCACCCACCTTGTCCTCTCCTCATCGCCCAACTCCTCCTATCCAGGTCGAGTCGAATCCTGACGGCACCAGCGCCCGGAGAGCCCTAGGAGGCCGAAGATGGGAAAACCTTCCCGACCCCGACGAAATCGAGAAAGCCCTCGAGCACCCTTCCCTCCGATTCCAATTTCCTCATGGCTACCAGTCCCCTCCACCGCCTGCCCATCAGTCGTGCATTCTTGGGCCAGGCCCTAAAAGGGCACCTCGTAGAGGGAAATCGTTCTCAACCCTCTCAAGGGTTCGAAGAGCGCCCAAGACGTGTTTCTGAGAGGGGTCCTTGAAACCCGACTGGGGATCTGCAACACTGATCCCGCTTCGGCGTACCTTGTAGGGCCTGGCTGAATGATCCTGGTGCTTCGCACCGCATAGAAGAATGACCCCAGGCATTCGTACTCCGCCACCGCGCTTGCAACGGTTCGTGTGCGTGTGTGTGTGGGTGTGGCTGCGCGTCTGTGCGTTTTCTCTCGCGGCATCAAGACATGATGCCAACGAGACCTCAACTAGCGGTTGTCTTCCAATGCAATTCAAATCAAGTCTGAGGCATGCAATGCAATGCAACATGAGGATTGGTATTCCGCGGGATTGCTTTGCGTTGCTTGGCATTGATGTGCGTTGCTTTGCAGGGCTTGAATTCGTTGCTTGGCATTGGTTAGCATTGGCTTAGCATTGCTTGGCATCGCTTCCCGTTAATTGGCATTGCTTGGGCTCGCTGCTTGGCATTGGCATTGCACAGCATTGCTTAGCGTTGCTCGTGATCGGTGCCTGGCATTGCTTACGATCGTTGCTTGATGTTGCTTTGCATTGCCTGGCGTTGCTTAGCGTGGCTCAGAATCGTCGCTTGGCGTTGCTTGGCATTGCGTGACATTGCTTGGCACTGCTTGCCATTGACATCGCTCGGCATGAATTTTCATTCAAGATGCATTGCCTAACATCGCTGGTCGTTGCTTTGGGTTGTTTTGAACAGTCGCTAAGCAATGCTTGGCGCTGCTTGGTATTGCTAAACATTGGCGTTGCCTTGGTATTGCTTGGCGTTGATTGGCATCAACCAAGCAAACCAACCCAACCGGGCAGCCCGGGGTGACCCCGAGAATCGCCGGGCAACCGGGCAACCCGAGGAACGCCGGGCGCCGCTTCTGAATTGGGGCGTCACACCTACTGGCTTCTATCACAAACGGATGAGATCCCCCTTCGGCAACGCCTCATTGGGGAATTCAATGTATCGCGAAGCAGTATTGAAGGCCCACGGGCGCATCAAACCCAATATGGTTCAGCAGTTTGAATTGGCCACTGTCTTTTTGTTGTGGGGACAGGGGTTTCAAGCTAAGAGATATGCTACTGTGAAGGTCTCGCGTAGGAAGCCTCATGACACGTACCACGGCGGGCGCCACCCCTTCCCCCAGGCGCCCGCCCTAGGGAGGTGGCGGGGTCGTGCGGAAGCACAGCTTCATAAACAATAGAGGAGCAAACGTGCGCGAAGCAGCTCGCAAAGGGGAGCGCGACGCACGAGGGCTTGCTGCTCTCTGGCTGAGAGGCCGAACGCTCCCCCGTCCCGTCCTCGTTCTCCTCGTCGTCCTCCTGCCCGTAGCCACTTTGGTTCAAGATGACTCTGTCCCTCGGGCAGAGAGCGGACACCTCTGATCCGAGGCTAGACCACGCCGATTTCTCCCGCATCTCCTCGCGAAAATTCACCGTCCCCCGTCGGGGAGGGTGTCGGGCGCGCTGTCGTGACGTGGCGCAAGAATGCGCCGTGCCACAACGGTGGCAATAGTGGCAAGAGTAGCCAATGGTCCCAGGGTGAAGCGTTCGATGTGTGTATGTGTGCGGGCTGTAAGCATTGGGAGCACAAGACTTTCGGCAATTTCTGCTGCTCGAAGTGCGGGGGGGGGAGCACACTTGTGCAGGTGAGCAGCACGAGCATGGTTCTGCCCGTGGCAATGGTGCTCGTCATGCTGCAGATGCAAGCGGTCGAGGAGACTCCGGCGACGATGATTTTATTGCTGCTGTTGCGTTATTGTTTGCGGCAAAGCCCGATCTTCAAGATGGTCTTGCTCAAATCATGGGTGACGCTCTGCCGCCAGTGGAGCCATGATCGACTGCGGCCCAGCTGCAGGACGTAGCCAGTGCCGAGCGCACCCGCCTCACTCGCGCCGTCGATAATGTAGCGAAAGTGGTGCGCTTGGCCTCTCAAGAAGTACATCATCGGAAATCGAAGGTACAGAAGCTTTAGGAGCAGTTGGTGGAGGCCAAGGAACACTCGGCCGCGGACACCGCCGCCCACGAGAAGGCTGCCGTGACAAAGCCCAAGCTGACATGACCTCCAGCGCATCACGAGGCTGCCTGGATCGAGCGGAAGCGCATCGAGCCGGGTGAAGCTCGTGCTGCTGAGACCGCTGGTCGCGCTCAGCCTGGGCAACAGGATGGGCTGCCTGGTGAGGCTGCTGCTGGCGCTGACGGGACAGCTGAAGGAGCTGCTCGTGAAGCTCCTGGCGGTGGCCCACGTGATTGACATGCCCGCATGGCGCCTCAAGACATTCGCAACCTGGGCGGGATGGACGAGGCGCAGCTCCTCAGCTTCGCCGAGGAGGAGCAGCGACTCCCCCTGGGGCTCCTCCAGCAGTGCCGGGCCATGTCCAAGAAGCTCGCCCAGAGCGAGACCATCGATGTGGATGCTGATAGTGATGCTGGTAGTAACGCTGGCGATCTTCAGGCGCAAGGGGCCGATGAGCTCAAGGCACTTCTCAATAGGGCCTGTGGCGAGAATCCATTGGAGCGCTCTGACCAAGAGCTACATCAATAATCTGTATGGTAAGGCTGACGCCTTCTTCTTAGCTGAACACCGCCAGCTCCCCCATCAGCTGAAGACTGCCATGCGGGAGTGCGCCACGACGAATTAGAGACCTCACTTTGCCCCTGCGCGGAACACTTCCGGAGGAGGTGCCCATGGTGGGATGGGGGCTTGTGTTCACCGTGGCTTATGTTTTAAGAGGTGTCGTTCTCACGATGGACGTGTGCAGGAGGTGGGTGTAGGAAAAGGCTGGATGTTTCTGGAGCTGCGCACTCAGGGGTCCGTCTTGGGAATCGGCGTTGTGAGCATGGTTTCTGATTTGGGTGTTGCTGGAAAGAGCATCCGGAACATGCTAGATATCAACACGGCTCTTCCGTGGGTCCTCACGGGGGACTTAAATTTCGACATCGAGCTCATGCAGCATTGCGGTTTCCTGAAGATGAGCTGAGATTGTGCCATTCCGCCGACAGGTGTCGCGTGCAAATGCGCGCAGGGGCAGGGAATGATGATTCATTACGAAGTTGCGTCTGATATCCTCGCGCCGTTCCTGAGGATCTCGGAGTATGAGAAATCGCCTTTCGAGACACATTCACGTTTGACAAAACATCTGCCGCATGAAGCCTTTGCTGCAGGAGGTGACCAACCGTTGCACACCTTTTCCCTGTTGTCCAATTGCCTGTGGGGACCTGCTCCCCATGTCCAGGGGCATCTCTCGGCAGAGTTCGCTCGTACCTACTTGCTGTGGCCCCGTGCTTCGGAGAGCTCAGCTCTTAGAGGTAGTCATGAGCACGATCATGAGAATGTGGAATAGATGGGAAGGGGGGACTTTCTAGACGAACGACGCTGACTGCGAACAATGGTTGTGAGAAGGCGAATTCGGACCCTCCGCTGCGCTTCTGATCTCATCTTTCTCAGAAGCTGCATGAACTCCGCGTTGCTCTTGAGCGTAGGCACAGCAAGATGGCTAGATATGTATCGCGGCGGGTTTCTTGGCCAGTATGTAGAGCAGAATTATGCGTGTCTGCCCTGCGCGCAGACTTACCAAGCGTGGCAGCTTAGCTCGGCCAGATGGAATCGGGTAGGTCGGCGCTCAGAATCGATCTTTGTGATATCGATCTTTGTGATATCTTATTTCCCGACTGCTCTGCTGTGCTCGGGAAGGCCTGGCCGGATGCTCGCTCGAAGTCAGGTAAAGCGAATAAGGAGTGGCTGATTAAGGCTTTCTCTGGGGGCTCAGAAGGCTCACGCTCTCTGGAGATTGTTCGGGCCCCTGTTGGGGTCTTGCAGCTGCCTAGTGAGATGATGGCCCATGTGCGAGTTTTGACCGCTGGCCCTGGGCAGCACGCGGAGTTGGGAGAAGCCGCCACTGAGGTCCAGCCTGAGCTTACCGACGTTGAATGTCGGGGTGTGTTTACTGCTTGGCAACTTGTCTCTGAAGATGCCACTGCGGGGGTCGTCCACTGGAAGCCTAGGGAGGTCATGCAACTTCAGCCCGATGCCCACGAAGCTCTTGTCCAGCTGTATCGGCGGTGCGAAGACTCTCTGATGTGGCCAAAGCAGATCCTCCTTAATATGAATTCCCTCCTCCCGACAAGTAAATGTAATGGAAGAACAATGTGCAAATGCCCTACCTTCTACAGCGTGCACACCAAAATCAAGTGGT